ATTCTTTTTCAAAAATTTGTCTAATTTTCTTTTTCTATATTCTTATAGTTTATTTTCAAATTTAAACTTAATTTTTTTAATCTTTATCTTGTATTTATAAATTTTCGCTCTTACTTTTCCTTTTCAATTAAGTTTATCTGATTGGGTATATTTCAAAAAAAATGAATTACTTCTGTATATCTATATAAATATAGTGAAATCACTCCAATCTATTATTTAAATGTCAATCTAAATTAATATTATAATATTTAGTTAATGAATAATGTCATATACATCAATTGATATATTAATTAGTATTTTAACAGATGACGTGGCATAATTTTAAAAATTTTGAATATCTATAATTTATATAATGGGTGAGGTCATAATTTTAAAATAATAATGTTATAATATATATTGATACACTAATTAATATATCAATTGATCCATGTAACACTACCGTTACTTAATTTTGTTATTATTGATTTTGAAGCAGTAAATACCAAGTAATGAGAGTTGCGGTGACCACCTAACAGTTGCGAATTTCAATAGGCTTCGATTTGGACAGACCAGTAGTAGCATTAACTGTTTCTAGGAAAAATGTTAGTATATAAATTAATAAAAATTTGCAATATTTCTTATTAATTGATATATTATGCAATAAATAAATTTTGAATTTTGAAATAAAATCAACTTTAATAATAGAATAAGTATCATATAAATCGCTTTATAAAATTTATTAATCTGTAGAGCATTATTTTTTACCTTTTTAAAATATATAATTTTGTTTAATAATAGTAATTGAGGTCTCGTTTGGCAAGTGCCCCTTTTAGCCAAAAAATTACTAAAAAAATCAAAAAACCAACAACCCGTACTAAAAAGTCAAAGATTTCATTTTCTCTTTATTTTTTGCACATCTTTTCATAAAAAGTCAAAAAAGTCATCCCAACCATACTAATTTTTTTTTACATCACATTTTAACCAGAAAGTCAAAAAATTACTAAAAAAGCTTGTTCCCAAACGAGGCCTGAGAGACTAGTTAAGCTCTGAGGGGGTGAAACAGTTTACAGTTGGGAAAGGGTGGGTGAGGTGGAATTGGGGGACATTCAATGAATGAAATTGAATTGAGAGGGGGCTGTGGCCTTATTTTACGTGCCACTTTGTTTTTGCTGTGAACCACCTTCAATGCTACTACTAGAAGACCCTCGAATTGTACACTCACTCTCTCCTTTGAATGTCACTACTACACTAGTTATGCAACATTTGTTCCATGTAAATTTAGTTACATTATATTACATAGGATATGACTTTTGATTAAACAATAGAGACATTTACACATTATATATATATATACATATTATATACATAGGATATTTCATTTTATCACATTATATATATATACATATTATTTGATCTAAAACACAGACATTTACAAGTGTCCCGGACCACTTGATAAGGGATAATTAGAGTTAATTTTATTAAATACATTTTCAAATATATTAAATTTTAATTAATAATTAGTTTTATGAATGAAAATATAAAGTATTAATTATAAAATATTGTATACAAATTCAGGCCTGAGAAGCACAAAAAAAAAAAAAAAAAAAAAAAAAAAAAACTAGGCTTCGTTTGGGATGTGAATTAACTTTTTAACTTTTTGACTTTTGTGAGAAAAAAATGTAATGATTATGATTTGGACGTCATAACTTTTAGCTTGGGACTAAAAAACTTATCTTGTCATTTTGTGATTAAAATATCCCCAACCTCGCCCAAACCCACATGTCAAACGGGCACTTATTGGTTTATTTAGATCGTATCACTGCTCTACTTTTTGCATGTTTTTTCATAATAAATCAAAAAGTCAGTTCATAAGCCACTTTCCAAGTAAGGCCTCAGAAGTTACTAAGTGGATGTTTGGGAAGTTACTATTTTAGTAGGCTAATTTAGTTTTTGACTATTTTAGTAGACTAAAATTTTTGTATTTGGGAAGATAGTGCGATTGTGTGGTTGAATTGTTTTGTAGTTGGATATAATGTTTGTGAGAAAAAAAATAAAATGATTATAGATTTGATGTAACATTCACTACAAGAAATTGCACTTTTGGCGACTACTTTTGGCGACGACGTCAATTTTTCATCGCTAAAAGTATATTTTTGGCGACACAGTGATCAATTTCGTTGGTAAAAGTATACCTTTACCGACGCAACTTGTTGTCGTCGCTAAAAAGGCATAACATTATTTTAGCGCCAATTTTTTTGGTTGGCGCCAAAATTTCAAAACTTTTATCTACGAGGCTTATGTTTTAGCAACACAATGAGCGTTGCTATTAGTGTGCTTACTTTTGGCGACGACAAGTTGGCGTAGGTAAAGAGTTAATCATTTAGCGACGATGACACTATTCGTCGGTAAAAGTTTTGCTAGTGGAATGATGTGATTTAGTAATTTGTGTTTTTTATTATAATTTTTGAAAGAGTTTTAAATATTTTAGTTACTTAATTGTAAAATTAAAATGATCATTGAATTAGATCACAAAATGAACCCATTGAACACAGTTTTAAGTTGAGATGACTAATTTGAGATAATTTAATTTTTTTCAAAGAATATGGTTAGATTATCAATTTCAATATGTTTGTTTTTATTTTCAGGAACTAGTTTCAAATTTTTTTTCCTAAAAAACTAAAAACAAATTGGGTGAACAAAAAAATACTTATTATTTTTGTATATTTTTATCTTTTAGGTCATAAATACTTTTTAAAATTTTAAAAATATAATTTTCAACCACAACAATGGCGTCTCTCACCCCTGGCATCCTCTCCAAACTTCTCCAAAATCTTAGCAACATTGTCGCCGGAGGGTATCGACAAGAAAGTGGGTGTGAAAGGAGAGATTGAAGGTTCGGGAAAAGATGGGTTAGAGAGAGAGAGAGTCTGCCTTCTCTCTAGAAATTGCCTAAATTTCTAGGGTTTTCTCATTCAATATTTCGTTGATAATGGCTGATCTCACATCTGATTTACGCAATTTGGCTACGATGGCTGATGGGTTAGTGACTGAAGGTTCTCCTTCGCCTAAGGGGAGTTCGCACATCGTGAAAGATTTACTGTTGGAGAGGGATTTGTTAACATTGATGGACATCGCGAAGCAAAATGGGGGTAAAAATCAGTCTTCTACCTCCGAGATCGTTTTGGGTATGAGCCCTAGGGCTTCGATTGGGGTTCAGTCCGAGGTCCCTACTCCTAGTTCCTTTGTCGAAGCTATGGGTGGTCTCTGTTTCGAGATCCGAGACCTTGCTCAGCAACAAAAGCTTTGTTTTGGGGGAGAAGTGGCGTCGAGCCCTGCCGTTGTTCATTCGCAGGTATGGCTAAGGACTTATGGGTCAATTGCTTGGGCTGTTTGAAATGCCTGATCATTAGATTTTTCTTAACTAATTCATGCATTGAATTAATTTTACAGCACTGCTACAAATGTTAAGATTGAGTTGCCTGTTCCAGCCGATGCTACCAACCCAAATGTTTGGACATCATTGGGATCTGCTTCATATGCACCAGAAAATGATGCTTTGATCTAGAAAATTAAATCTTTTCCTGGTGGTAAGGTGAGAGTTTACCTCAATTTTTTCTCAGTGTATTGTTTACTAGTAATTTCTTGTTCATGGCTATTGGTTATGTGGGGCGACAGTATCTTTTCCACTTGCAATTTTGACATGGAATTTTGACACTCTTTGCAAATTCAATTTAGGAATATATGCTTAGAGCGGAGTATACTCTTCCTAGTATAACATCTGAAGACGCAGCTCCTGAGAGAAAAGCTTCTATACGTGTGAAGTTTGAGATACCATATTTTGTTGTTTCAGGAATCCAGGTTTCCCCTCTCAAATACATTTTTTTTTTATTTTAATTTTTTATTGAATAGAAAATTCAGATATTGTTGCATGTATATCTGCAATGCTTCATTCTTTCTGTGTCTGCTGTGTTTGCGTCTTTTTTTTCATTTTTTTTAATCTATCTAGACAAAGGTGGAATGGATAAAACCAAACCTTGTGTTCCAATCAGGAATGATAAACCAAAACCAAACCAAACTTTGTGTTCCAATCAAGTGGGAGGATTCATACTTGATGTGGTTGAACACTCAAATCTGATGCAGGATATCACTCCCTGTTACGTGCATGTAGCCATGCACCTACCATTATTGCCCTGCTCTCCTTGATCAAATCAACAAATATAAAAAAAATAATAATAATAATAAAAAAGGTTGGTTGTTGGACTGAGAATACTATTTCACTCACTTCCCAGGATTGCATGATACATAAATCTGCATTTTGTATGACTCTTATTTGGGTTTCATTATGCCCTGAAATGCTTGTCCTCCCAACAGAGGTCATGAATGACTCTGAACGACTGCTCCTCTGTAACTACCTATTCCAATATTACTTTCTTTTGACTCTGCATTAAAAGGGCCAACCTGCTTTTTAAATTCACAGATGTGGATACAAAAAAAAGGCCAAACTACTCTTTGTCTGTCTCAGCCATTTTGGCACTGTAATTTGTCATTAGCCATTGACAGAAGCTGTGCTTGTTGAAGTGGTATTCCTGCTCCTGCACTGTATTTCCTTTTAGAATAGAATAGCATGTTGAACTTAGAGATGTGGTTTTCCACAGATGTTAGTGATTGAGCATGATTGAACCTATGTATTATAATTATTCTGATTCTTGCTTGCTGCTTTCTACTGCTGGGATGTGAAACTTCTAAACCTTAAACGAAGGGGTTGATGCCTACTTGCCCTAGTTCTGGTCTTGTTCTTGTTCTGAGGAGTGAACAGTGCCACTGGTTTTAACTTTGAAATTTATTTTATTTTATTCAAGTTGGTTGGGGAAACTGCTTTGGTGACTCTTCATGATGATGTATTCCTGTTGTTTGGTTCTTCTAGATGCTCAGTTTGGTTCTGAACGTAACGTAACAACCATAATAAAATAATATCCTTTATTTATGTAAATGTTGTGTTTTGTAGGTTCATTACCTAAAGATTATCGAGAAAAGCGGCTACCAGGCTCTTCCATGTGTGAGATACATAACCATGGCCGGCGAGTATGAACTAAGACTTATGTGAAAATCTACTTCCACCTGTTGGTGTTCTCAATCTCTACAAACTCGCATGATTTTGCACTTTCGTGGGCAAAATGAGCCTATAGGAGAGTTAAATTGCCCCTATCCAGACAAATAGCTAATTGAGCAAATTCTTGTGCGTCCGTTTTCTTTGTTGAAGTCATTGTTGATTATCAACCAGAGGTTTGTAGAAGTTGATGTTTACTAGCAAAGTTTATTCATACACTTGTGAAAATCAAGTTAACTTTTGTGAATTAAAGTTTGTTTGTTCGTGATATTTTTTTGAACTCGTCCGCTTTTTATGTTTTTATTATTAATTCAAAAAACCGAAGGTATATGCATCAGCACAAGATGACTGTCATGGTAATTTATGTATGATAGAAAAGCCTTGTTCTTGTGATGTCAGAGCTTCATGTGTTCACTTACATGATCATCTGACGTCCACTTGCATTACAACCTAAACTGATTGATGTGCACTTTGACATCAAGGCATTAATCTTTCCTTTGGCAGGTACGCATCTTTTGGACCCGAATATGCCTACCCACAGGTCAGTAAATTCAAATCTCAACTGCTAATGGGTATTTTGGTACTCCAGTTAGTTCTGGAAAGGAATATGTGCACAATCGTGATGTGTTCTGTCTATTTTTTCAGGGTGTCTACAATCCTCACATGGGTCAGCATTACCTTCAAATATATGGCGTACCAAGCACAGTTAACACAAATATTGTCCCATATGGACAAATGGGTCATCCTCTCTCTGGCAACCATGGGTATCCAACCATTCAGGGCTATGTGACACCAGGTCGTCATGTTCTGCAATATGGGGGACCCCTCGTTAATGGAGTAACTACAGACACTATTACCATAACTCAAGCACAATACCTTGCAGGTAACTCTCTCTCTCTCTCTCTCTCTCTCTCTCTCTCTCTATGCTTTGAGCTGGGAAATGAGTGTGAAAATGATGCAGATTTGGCAAATAGCCAAAAAAATTATCAACCTGGAGTTGCTACTAGAATTTTGTTAACAATACATATTTGCGTATGTGCATACGCCTAAGTATATAAATGTCCATCCATGTTACACACAGACATGCAATTCTAGAAGCATTACAGTTTTGATTGTCAATACAATGATCATTAAGTAGAGACCAATTCATTCTTGCACAGATCCAGGATCATGTGAGATGTTTAGGATCAATAAAGATGTGTGATTATGGCTAAACTGAAGGTAGCTTGATGAGGCATCCTTTTGGCTGCTGTATGGCTGATCTAGCAAGTTTTTTTCTTCTTTTTCTTCTTAGAAGCTTCCAACCAACCATACAACTTTTGGTTAATACCTTCCTATATGATGTTTAGCTCCTGGCAGGAGCTATTGCTGAACAAAAGGGGTTAAAAAAAAAAAGAAAAAGAAAAAAAAGAAAAAGAAAATGTTATTTCAAATCTGCCTCCTTAGAAGAACATATTGATGAAGAAGATATTCTCTAAGCAATACTATATCCTATAATAAGGTTATTTATGTGATGGTTGGCACTGCTTTAAGGGTGAAGTTTTAGGAATTGTTGGTTTGATTATGCTCCTCAAAGTTGTTACTCTGACCTTGTAAGGATTGGTTAGGACAGAGATGTTAGTGGCTAATATTGTCAGTATTAGTAAAGTGATTGTTCTCTTGTCAGTATTGGAGCTTGAGGATTTGTTTGAATATTTGCATCCCCAATAGCCAATATGAACAACAATGCCTTTCATCTTGGCTAATTGTATTCTTAAGTATCTTGAATTAGATGTCTACTAAGCGAAGTTATCTCCCAACAGCAAAAAAAATAAAAATAATAATAATAATCTAAGAACTAATTTGATTCTTCGTGAACAGCCCTTCCTTTCAGTCATGACTCTAATCTCATTAAAATCACCACCCAGGCACCAAGGGTTGGGATAAGAGAGCTTAAGATTTATAAGACTCTCCCATAGTTTCCTCCTCTTCACTACATCTGTCGGAGCATAAATATTGCAGATTACACAATGAAAAGATTGAGATATGATACCTGAAAGAAGAATAAAATTCCTGGAACTGCAGCATTTATCAACTGGAAAATCTGAGGGTTCCAAATGCAAAGGAGACCACCTGCACTGCCTTCTGCACATACCTCCATAAAATCCATCTCATCCATTGGCCATAGGACTTAACAAAATTGCCATCAACAGCTTTCTCTTTAGTCTCCTGCAGCAACAAAAAACATCCACTGATTTTGCCCTCGCCAATGCCTTAATTCTACTCCTTTTTTCAGGTCGTCTAAGACCCTGACATTCCATGACATGAGTTTCATTAAAACCTCTACCACAGCTCCTGTACTCCTTCATTTGTCCAGCCCTTAATCAGCCTCTCTCCTCCCTTCAACTCTTTTTAAATCTTTTTCCTCCAACTCTATTATTCTGGCCACACTTCCTCCTCTTTTTCTTCACAGTTTAGTCTAAAGCCTTTCCTACCTCAACCGTAGCTCGGCTTCTTTAAGTAACTTGCTTCTCTTTGTGAATTACTCCTCTGTGATGC